ATATTTCACCCAAAAGCCTTTATAGTGGACCCCTATTGGTCTGGCCTGGCCAAAATCCCTTCCCTCTTTGTCTAGAAACAACAGAAGTACCCTCATCTGACTCCATAGGATCCTGGAGGGGTGGTCTATCATGTTGCCCCAAATCTCCCTCTGTCAAAGAGATGGGCCCACACACTGGCTAGCCCACTGGAGCACCCCGTTCTCCAAGCCCCGGTTATTAGTTGAGGAAGAGGCAAGTGTCCTAAGCTGGACCAATCTGAATCTTCCCTAAGATCTGACACATGGGCACTAAAAGGGAAATGTTGTCTCTCTTCCTCTAGGATCTTGAGCTATATAGACCATGAAGGCTTGAATAAAGCCAGGCAGAGGTAAACAGAGTTGAAAATGGAGGGTGAGGGATAGAGCTGATAACATCACCTGAATTCCTGACTCAGCCACGTTTGAAGCCATAATCACCCACTTGGATTTCTCATTTGTATGAGTCAATAAATTCCCCTTCGTAGCTTAAGCTGGATTTTGCTGGTTTTCTTTCCCTTGCAACCTAAAGGGTCCTAGCTAATTAATATCACAATTTTCTCACTGGATAATTAATATCACAATTTTCTCACTTTAAAAACCCATTCCATGATTGTGAATACCAGCCACATTTAAGACCCAAAATTAAAGTTTATATTTTAATATTCCAAATATTAGTTTAAAGTAGGATATCCTATTTGTTCTTCAGGAAAAGGAGGCATAAGGAATTGGTTATATGGAATTTCCCCCAAGGTCATAAAATTCATCTGAAGCCAAGTCCAGAATAAAAATAATTTCCTAGACCTTTTCTTCTAAAAAAATAAATGCTTTATTCTATGTCAAAGTAAAGTCAAAAGTTATCTGCAAAATCTGCTAGGAAAAGGAAAAGGGAGATGAACCTGTGCTGATGATGTCTTAGTTCAAGAGAGAGCAAGGATCAAAACAAATCAACTTCAAATTCCTCAAATTTCCAACTAGCTGAGCTTTATCAAACTAACTTTGATGAGTTCTTGTCCAGAAAGAACACAAAAATTAGCCAGGCACGATGGCTTGTGCCTGTAGCCCCAGCTACTTGGGAGGCTGAGGGAAGAGGATCATTAGAGCCCAGGAGGTCGAGGCTGCAGTGAGCCATGACTATGCCACTGCACTCCAACCTGGCTGAAAGAAGGAGACCCTATAGAAAAAAGAAAGATTCTCAGCAACTGTGTGTCTATTCTACATAACATGTCTAGAATCCAAGTGTTTTTAACTATACTTATCTTCTAGACAATTAGATAAATGACTCTAAAGCTCTCATAATGTTTGTCTAAAGCATTATTTTATACTGTAAGTGAAAGCCCTCATAAAGAGAATTCACAGACTTACAACTCAATAGTAGAAAAACAAATAACCTAATTTAAAAATGGGCAAAGGACCTGAACAGGCATTTCTCCAAAGAAGACATAAAAATGGCCAACAGATACACGGGAGGATGCTCAACATCACCAGTCATCAGGGAAATGCAAGTTAAAATCACTATGAGATATTGTCTCACTCCTGTTAGAATGGCTATTATGAAAAATTCAAGGCCGAGTGAGGTGGCTAATGACTATAATCCCAGCACTTTGGGAGGCTGAGGCAGGCGGATCACTTGAGGCCAGGAGTTCAAGGCCAGCCTGTCCTATATGGCGAAACCTCATCTCTACTAAAAATATAAAAATTAGCCAGGCGTGGTGGCACACGCCTGTAATCCCAGCTACTCAGAAGGCTGAGGGAGAAGAATTGCTTGAACCTGTGAAGCGGAGGTTGGAGTGAGCCGAGATTGTGCCACTGCATTCCAGCCTGGGTGACAGAGTAAGGCCCTGTCTCAAAAAAAAAAAAAAAAAAAGTCAAGAGATAAAAAATTCTGGCAAGGGTGTGGAGAAAAGGGAACCTTAGTACACTGATGGTAGAGATGTAGATCGGTACAGCCATTATGGAAAACAGCATGGAGGGTCCCAAAAAATTAGAACTAGAACTATCATCTGACCCTGCAATCCCTCTTTTGGATATATACCCAAAGGAGATGAAATCACCACCACATAAAGATATCTGCACCCCTACATTCATTGCAGCATCATTCACAATAGCCAAAATATGGAAACAACCTTAGCATCCACTGACTGATGAATGGATAAAGAAAATGTGGTATGTATATATAATGGAATATTATTCAGCCTTAAAAAAGGAGGTCCTGCCATTTGTCACAACATGGACGGACCTGGAGGACCTTATGCTAAGTAAAATAAGCCAGACACAGAAAGAAAAATATTGCATGCTCTCACTTATATGTAGAATCTGGGGCGGGGGGGAAGGTCAACTATACAGAGATAGAGAATAAAACAGTGGCTACCATGCATGTTGGGTGGCATGGGGGCAAATGGGGAGATATAGGTCAAATGATACAAGTAGCAGATATACTCACAGCCTATAATCTCAGCATTTTGGGAGGCCAAGGTGGGAGGACCACTTAAGCCCAGTAGTTCAAAACATAGCAAGACCCAATCTCTACAAAAAATACAAAAATTAGCCATGTTTGGCAGCGCACATCTGTAGTCTCAGCTACTCAGGAGGCTAAGGTGGGAGAATCACTTGAGCACAGAAGTCAAGGCTACAGTGAGCCGTATTCACACTACTGCACTCCACCCTGAGCTACAGAGCAAGACCCTTTCTCAAAAAAAAAAAAAAAAGAGTAGCAGATTTAGTGAATGAAAAAGTCTAGAAATCTAAAGTACAACATGAGGATTATAGGTATTAAAATTGTATTGTATTAGAAATTGTTGTCAAATAAGTAAATTTTAGCTATTGTCACCAAAAAAGTAACTATGTGAAATAACAGCTATATTAATCTGCTTCATTATAGTAACTGTTTTACTATCTACAGGTATCCCATAACATCATGTTGTAAACCTCAAATATACACAATCATGTTTACTGAAAAAATAAAAATAAAATTTTAAAGAGTTAAAAAGAAAAACATTGAGTTAACAAAAAGTTCTGTTTTCTCAATGACAAATAGAATAAAAGTCTGATGAGTACCTAAGGCAAAAACTCAGTGTAAAATTAAACTCCTTGTAACAGAATGGTAGACAAGAAAGGAAATTCTTAAAGGAATCTTTTCAGTGCAAATGGTAGAACTAGAAAGGGAAGATAAGAGCTCTATATGTGGAGTTGAGATTTCCTCTGCAGCTGGGCATTTGGCACAGCCAGTTTTCTAAGAAGCGTGTCACTATTCAGAAATTCTATAATCACAGCTAGCAATGGCCAATTCACCTTAAAAGTTGGCAATAAAGAAAAAACGTGCAATCAGATAATGGGTAACAAAAAAAAATCCAATATGGGCCAAGTGCAGTGGCTCACACCTGTAATCCCAGCACTTTGGGAGGCAGAGGCAGGAGGACTGCTGGAGCCCAGGAGTTTGAGACCAGCTTGGGCAACATGGTGAGAACCCGTCTCTACAAAAAATTTTAAAACTTAGCCAGGCATGGTGGCACATGCCTGTGGTCCCAGCTACTCTGAAGCAGGAGGATTGCTTGAGCCCAGAAGGTCGAGGCTGCAGTGGGTTGTGTTCAGGCCACTGCACTCCAGCCTGGGCATCAGAGCAAAACTGTCTCACACAAACAAAAAAACAAAATGTGAATCTTGTGCCACCTCATGTAGCTGAGCCATGATCCTGAGTGGGGCACCTAAGATCTCTGAGCCTCAGTTTCCTCACTTGTAAATGAAGAGATTGGTAGATGGTCTCTGAGGTCCTTTATAAATGCACAAGCAATACAGTTTGTAGTTTCTCACTCTGAGCCTAAGAGATTTACACTCTTTTTTTTTTTTTTTGAGACAGAGTCTTGCTCTGTCGCCCAGGCTGGAGTGCAGTGGCGTGATCTCGGCTCACTGCAACCTCTGCCACCAGGGTCAAGTGATTCTCCTGCCTCAGACTCCTGAGTAGCTGGGATTACAGGCACCTGTCACCATGCCCGGCTAATTTTTATATTTTTATTACAGACAGGGTTTCACCATGTTGGCCAAGCTGGTCTCAAACTCCTGACCTGAGGTGATCCACCCGCCTCGGCCTCTCAAAGTGCGGGGATTATAGGCGTGAGCCACCGCGCCCAGCCGAGATTTACACATTGTAAAAGGTAGGGCAGAAAAGCTGAGCACAATGGCTCACGCTTGTAATCCCAACACTTTGGGAAGCTGAGATGGGTAAGATCACTTGAGGTCAGGAGTTGAAGACCAGCCTGGCGACCATGGCAAAACCCCGTCTCTACTAAAAATACAAAAATTAGCTGGGCGCGGTGGCACGTACCTGTAGTCCCAGCAACTCAGGAGGTTGAGACAGGAGAACCGCTTGAACCTGGGAGGCAGAGGTTGCAGTGAGCCGAGATCACGCCACTGCACTCCAGCCTGGGCAACAGAGTGAGACTCCATCCCAAAAAAAAAAAAAAAAAAATAGTAGGTCAGAGGCCAGCATTAGAAGATGAAAACTGTAAGGAACTAAGGAACTAGATTTTTGACTTGCTTCTTTTAAGTGCAAAAAGTACGAATTCTTTCAGAAAGATATTAAAGGAAGGCACAGAATCTATGGGGTCCTGGCATATTACAACCAGAGATTAATTGGTCATGTGCAAGAAGGATAAAAATCATTTGCAATCCGTAAGAAAAAGACCACTAAGCCAATAGAAATAGGAAAAGGATGTGAACCATCTGCTCATAGAATTCAAGTAGCTCTTTTTTCACGTGGAAAAGAATAAATTGTACTCAAAATTTAAAAGATGAAAATTACAATGAAATTCTACTTTTAAAGCCTATTTGCTCACCTTGGCAAATATTTTAAAAGTGCAGTAAACCTAGTGTGAACAAGGGGGGAAATGGGGAGCGGTCATTGATGAGAGTATCAATAGGTACCACCTTTGGTGGTCACCTGGCAAAATCTATAAAATTTTAAATGCAAGTATTTTTCAAGGAGACAATTCCACTTCTAGGAATTTATTCTATAGACATGGTTGCACACGTACTCAAAGACATAGACACAGATGTTCACTGCAGAATTGTCTGTAACAGCAAAAGGCTGGAAACAACTGCCATATCCTTCCATCGTGGCCGATAGAATAATTACGGGGTGCTGGTATAACACACAGAACACCAGGCAGCCATCTAAAAGAATGCCGTGCATCCACACACGCTGATGTGAAGTCATCTCCAAGATACATGATCAAGGGGGAGCTGAGGCGGGAGGGCAGATGACCCAATCTGGGGATGGGAACGCATTGAAACGTATACTTGTGTTCTGGAAGGAATCAAAAGAAAATATTAGCAGTGGCTGCCTGGTCTGAAAGGGGAAGAGGCTTCTGTACTGTTTGAATTTTCTTCCATGTGCACTTACTAATTTTTCCATTTTTAAAACTACTTAATTAAAACACCCACCCACCAACACACACACACACACACACCCACCAACACACACACACACACACACACACACACACACGAAAAATAGCCATTTAAGCAAGGTGGAGGGGAGAGGGATTCATGGTACTCTGAGCTCTGGTGTCACAAGGAAAGAGAGTCCACATCCCACCCAAGCACTGAGCAACAATAGAAAGTCAAACGCTGGAGGAGGAAGCAAGGCAAAAAAATATTTTTTAAATAAAATAAAAAACTTTATGCAGATTTAAAGAAAATGAAAGCAGCGCAACGAAGAAGGCATTGGAGTAGCACTTTCCACCAGCATATTGCTAGTCAGAATGAGTGCAGCCTGGCGCGAGCACCACCCGCTTCCGTGACCACGACTGGACCCCTCCCCAGCCCACTCTCCCCGGGGGGCGCTCGTTCGTGCCTTCCGAGCCGTCCGTGGGGGCGACCCAGGCCCGGGTGCCTAACTCCCAGCAGCGGGGCGGCGGTCCGCGCTTCCCCGAGGGTGGTGCAGGTCAGCCCCGTAGGCGGGCAAGGTCCTAGCCCCGGGACGTGCTGTCGTGTATGCAAACTTCGCTGCGGTCTGGCAGAGTTCTCGGTGGGTCGCGGCCCCAGAGTCCCCAGGCACGGCTGCAGTTGCGCCCGGGGCTGAACGCGGCGGTGGCTGTCGCGCACTCCCAAGCCGCCCCGCCCCGCCCCGGCCCGCATTCCTAAGGCCACAGTGCGACCCAGCGGGCCGCGGGGAAACTGCGCCGGACCGCGGCCCGCCACCGCCCGAGCCCTCCTCACCGGCAGTCTTCCAGGAAATGTGGCCGCGAGAGCAGCCTCCTTCCTCCTTCCTAAATGGAGAGGGCTAATCTGTTTGCCAAGACAATGTTGCTAAACCTGACCCTTCCCTCACGCTGTAGAAGAAAATGGACGTGCTGGGAAGTTCTGGTGGAGGGACTTGAAGGGATAAAATTCAGAATTCCAGACATCTGATAATTTATGAAGTCAAGGAAGGTTCGTTTCTACCTGAAGAATGACTCTAATTATTTAATAAAATCTATAGACACTAGGATTATAAGCAGGCTCGACCAAAACGCCACCTCCTTTGTGACGTTGGCCTCTGGCTAAGTGGAAATGTGCCCTGGCTCACTGGCATGTCATTGCCTTTAACAGACCCTACAGGCTCCCTGAAGCAGAGATCCTGTCTTCCTCTTCTGTGTTAGGAATAGGCAGCAAGACAGAAACCCTGCAGAGGTTAAGAACAGGAAAGAAAAGAAGAAGCAAAGTCACAACAGCAACACTTATTTGCCAATTTTATTTGTCATTTAAGAAGTTTATTGGACTGGGCGCGGTGGCTCACGCCTGTAATCCCAGCACTTTGGGAGGCCGAGGTGGGTGGATCATCTGAGACCAGCCTGGCCAACATGGTGAAACCCCATCTCTACTAAAAATACAAAAATTAGCCGCGTGTGGTGGTACCTGCCTGTAACTCCAGCTACTCAGGAGGCTGAGACACAAGAATAATTTGAACCCAGGAGGCAGAGGCAGGTTGCAGTGAGCCGAGATGGCACCACTGCACTCCAGCCTGGGTGACGGAGTAAGACTGTCTCAAAAAAAAAAAAAAAAAAAAAAAGGTTTATTGAACACCGAATAGCCATATATTATGGTGAACCTTGATCCAGTAGACCAGCATTTTTCAATGGATGCCCTCTGCATGTCAGTTTCAGGCCATATGAATACCATATAACTTGAACATCAGAGCACCCTGAATATACGGTGATCCCACGTGTTGTCAGAGAAAAGTTCCTCAAAAACAAAAGTTGGGGTTTTGGGAATTTTTTAGCCAACTTGAAAACATAAATGTTTAGGATATAGATAAGAGTTAAATATCAGTGTATAGGATTGGATTTATTCATTTAGTTACACATAAAAACTTAAATCACATATGTAAAATAATACATTGATTTTGAAATAATGCTTTTTTCCCACTCTGACATGTTATGAAGCAATTTTATTTAAACTCTTGCCTGAGTTTTTCAATATCTTAGTCAGAAGAAGAGACACATCTTAGGGCATATAACACAGTCATTTTTATTTACAGACAGTATTTTTTGAACCCATGTGTGAGCTATCACCGGACATTTAATAATAAGCCATAATTTGATAAATTCAGAGTTTTAAAAAATGTATCCTATAGGTATAGATTTGTGATCTCTTCAACATATTCACTAACTGTATTGCTTTTTTGTCATTGCTGATTTACACCAACACCCAGTCAGTAGTCACATGGAGACGTCAGGCCCTGCATCAATCAGTAAGGGTCTAGCTACAGAGAATAAGGGTCTAGCTCCTGGCTAGTTTAAGCAAGAGATTTGTAATAGGGTGTCATATAACTTCCAGAATCACTGAACTGGAGATAGTAGGGGAGGGTTTGGCAAGAAACGGACTCTAGACTGAGCTTCTAGTAATAATTCCAAAGTCGCTTCAGAGAATTGGCCAGAGAACAAAAAGGCCCAAGCCAAATCTGGCTCTGCCACTATGGCGGCCCCATGTGAAATGATGCCACCTCTGCTACAATCAAGAAGCCGCCGGCCAAGCTTGCTGCTGCTGCATATCACCTCTGCTACCAATCACAAACAAAAATGAATGCCTCCTTCCAAAGGCAAGATTTATATAAGCAAGTGCATCTGAGTGTCAGAACCTAAAGTACATCCAAAATTCTCACTGCAAGAGGGTCTAGAAAAGATTGTTTTTAGCTTTCCAGATTCTTCCATATAAGAAGACAGATTATTTTTTATATATATAAAAAGTAGAGACTGGGTCTCACTATGTTGTCCAGGATGGTCTCAAACTCCTGGCCTCAAGCAATTCCTCCCACCTTAGCCTCCCAAAGTGCTGGGATAACAGGCATGAGCCACAGCGCCTGGCCTAAGACAACTGAAGAAAGTTAGACTACATGGTAAGTAAGGTAGTCCACAGCAACTGCCTCATACTCCCAAGAATAGTTACTAATTTTGAGCTAAATGTATTTTCCCCCTCTTTTTTTTTAAAACCAATTCCATCAGATTACTTTTATCATCAACTAAAACTAGTATTGATTGAAGTAGTTTCAGTATTGTGCTTTTTCCATACAACACCTTAGTCGTTTAAAAGTAAGTAATCCAGAAAATGCCCTGAAATATGAGACCTTGGAAGCCCTTGAATATTAGGATACTCCATCTTTTCTGAGAGATAATTTGGAAGAAAAAAACCCTTGCCTCATATTCGAGTATACACAGTAATTATTTCATGAAAAGTTTGGTTTTTTTTTTTAGTATCTTTATGGGCAAGTGTATCCATTTTATAGGACTGCCTAACAAATTGCCGTAAAATGGATGGTTTAAAACAATAGAAAAGTATTCCCTCAAAGTTCTGGAGGCCAGAATTCTGAAATCAAAGTATCAGTAGGGCTCATTTCCTTCTAGGGGCCTGGCCTTCCAGCTTCTGGTGGCTAATATTTTATGGCTTCCTTGGCTTGTGGCCACACCACTCCAACCTCAGCCTCTGCCTTACTATCTCTCTCTTCTGTGTCTGTCTTCTCTTCTGTCTCAAATTTCCCCTGCCTTTCTCTTGTATGAACACTTTTCATTGGACTTAAAGCCCACTTGAATAATACAGGATGATCTCAAGATCCTTAACTTAATTACATATGCAAAGATTCTTTTACCAAATAAGGTAACAGTCACAGGTTCCAGGGATTTGACATGGGTGTTCTGAAGGGACCACCATTCAACCCACTACAGCAAGGAAGTTTAGGAAATGCTGGGCTAAACAAATTAAATTGGTTTCTTTGCTGCAGGATTTTGCAAAACCTTTAACGTACTACATGTGCATTGTGAATCTCCAAGAGTGAGATACAGTATACAGTGATTTTCAAATTTATTCAACCATGAAATCCTATTTGCAGAAGCAATATTCCATAGAACACACTCTGGCATAGACATAATTTACCTGCTGGGCAAGTCCTCAGAAAGAATGTCAATAAGTATCAGAGAAGCCAAAAATAAGTGACTAAACAGTCAAAGGTTCTCAAGGATTTGGCAAGAGTAACTATTCTAAGCCATAACCATGCAACTCTGCTAAAGGTCATCACAGCCATAAGGTCATAACATGAAATAAAATATTTATGTCCAGTTACTAAACTGCTTCCTGTATTTGTCCATTTTCAAGCTGCTGATAAAGACATACCCAAGACTGGAAAGAAAAAGAGGTTTGATAGGACTTACAGTTCCACATGGCTGGGGAGGCCTCAGAATCATGGCGGGAGGTGAAAGGCACTTCTTACATGGCAGTGGCAAGAGAAAAATGAGGAAGAAGAAAAAGCGGAAACCCCTGATATACCCATCAGATTTCATGAGACTTATTCACTATCATGAGAATAGCATGGGGAAGACTGGCCCCCATGATTAAATTACCTCCCCCTGGGTCCCTCTCACAACACACAGGAATTCTGGGAGATACAATTCAAGTTGAGATTTGGGTGGGGACACAGCCAAACCATATCATTCCACCACTGGCCCCTCCAAATCTCATATTCTCACATTTTAAAACCAATCATGCCTCCCCAACAGTCCCCCAAAGTCTTAATTCATTTCAGCATTAACCCAAAAGTCCACAGTCCAAAGTCTCATCTGGGACAAGGCAAGTCCCTTCCGCCTATGAGCCTGTAAAATCAAAAGCAAGCTAGTTACTTCCTAGATACAACTGGGGTACAGGTATTGGGTAAATACAGCTGTTCCAAATAGGAGAAATTGGCCAAAACAAAGGGGTTACAGGGCCTATGCAAGTCTGAAATCCACTGGGGTAGTCAAATTTTAAAGCTCCAAAATGATCTCCTTTAACTCCAGGTCTCACATCCAGGTCACGCTGATGCAAGAGGTGGGTTCCCATGGTCTTGGGCAGCTCCACCCCTGTGGCTTTGCAGGATACAGCCTCCCTCCCAACTGCTTTCATAGGCTGGCATTGAGTGTCTGCAGCTTTTTCAGGTGCACGGTGCAAGCTGCCTGTGGATCTACTATTCTGGGTTCTGGAGGATAGTGGCCCTCTTCTCACAGCTCCACTAGGCAGTGCCCCAGTAGGGACCCTGTGTGGGGGCTCCAACCCGCACATTTCCCTTCCACATTGCCCTAGCAGAGTTTCTCCATGAGGGCCTAACCCCTGCAGCAAACTTTTGCCTGGACATCCAGGCATTTCCATACATCCTGAAATCTAGGTGGAGGTTCCCAAAACTCAATTCTTGACTTCTGTGCACCCACAAACTCAACACCACATGGAAGCTACCAAGGCTTGGTGCTTCCACTCTCTGAAGTCACAGCTTGAGCTCTGCATTGGCCCCTTTCAGCCACAGCTAGAGCAGCTGGGACACAGGGCACCAAGTCCCTAGGCTGCACACAGCACCGGGACCCTGGGCCCGGCCTATGAAACCATTTTTTTTTCCTCCTGGGCCTCCAGACCTGTGATGGGAGGGGCTGCCATGAAGGTCTAGGACATGGCCTCAAGATATTTTCCCCATGGTCTTAGGGATTAACATTAGGCTCCTTGCTACTTGTGCAAATTTCTGCAGCCGGCTTGAATTTCTCCCCAGAAAATGGGTATTTATTTTCTATCATAGAGTCAGGCTGCAAATTTTCCAAACTTTTATGCTCTGCTTCCCTTATAAAACTGAATGTCTTTAATAGTACCCAACTCACCTCTTGAATGCTTTGCTGCTTAGAAATTTCTTCAGATACCCTAAATCATCTTTCTCAAGTTCAAAGTTCCACAAATTTCCAGGGCAGGGGCAAAATGCTGCCAGCCTCTTTGCTAAAACATAACAAAAGTCACCTTTACTCTAGTTCCCAACAAGTTCCTCATCTCCATCTGAGAACACCTCAGCCTGGACCTTATTGTCCATATTGCTATCAGCATTTTGGGCAAAGACATTCAACAAGTCTCTAGGAAGTTCCAAACTTTCCAACATTTTCCTTTTTCTGAGCCCTCCAAACTGTTCC